ACCTCGTCCTGTTCCCCCTCTCCTCTTCGTGGCAGGTAAGTCCATTGTCCTGGCCTTTCTGAAGTTTCTGCCTTTCTTCAACCTCAGGGACCTCACACAGGCCACTCCTTCTCTTTGGAATGTTCTTTCTCCCACTTTTTACTAGACTAACTCCTCTTTTTTATTTTATTTTATTTTATTATTTTTCCACCGTGCTAGACATGAGGATACAATGGGGGCGAGGGAGAAGACAAGTAGTCACAGCCCTGTCCTGCTGCTTAAAAGTCGCAAAATAACCGGAGGTTAATGTTATCTTTCCAGATGAGATTTTGTTTTATTTTTCTCTCTTTTTTTTGAGACAGAATACATATACTTAAAGTTCTAAAGATGTTTTTTGACCTACAGCAGAATTGGACAAAACCTAAATGATCTAGATTTGCATTACTCTTTGTAAGTTATTTGAAAAAAATTAGTTCAATTTTTAGTTCCAGAATTGAATTAAGGTATCTATACATGTGCTGCAGTCTCAGTATTCTCCTGAGAGAGCAAATGAAGTCACAAAATAAACGCACTCCTTTAAACATAGAGCCAAGCCGTCGCCAAGCACTTGGGCTTCAATCTTCACCTTCCTTAAGCAGCTGAAGCCCTTGTGATTTTATTTTTTAATTTTTTTAGATTCCACATATGAGTGATCTCATACGGTATTCTTCTTTCTCTTTCTGGCTTACTTCACTTAGAATGAAATTCTCCAGGAACATCCACGTTGCTGCAAATGATGTTATGTTGTCGGTTTTTATGGCTGAATAGTATTCCATTGTATAAATATTCCACATCTTCTTTATCCAGTCATCTGTTGATGAACATTTAGGCTGTTTCCATGTCTTGCCTATTGTAAATAGTGCTCCTATGAACATTGGGGTGCAGGTGTCATTTCGAAGTAGGGTTCCTTCTGGATATATGCCCAGGAGCAGGACTCCTGGGTCACGTGGTAAGTCTGTTCCTTAGACTAACTCCTCTTTTTTTTATTCAAATCATACTTTACTTTCTCACAGAGGCCTTTCCTGACCTTTATCTCTAAAGACACACCCACACCAACACACAAACACACACCCACACACACACACACACACACCATTTCTCTTCATATGTTTACACTGTGTATGCGTACGTTTGTGCTGAGTGTCTGTCTTTTCTGCCCAGCTGTATGCTCTTTGCGGTCAGGGATCACGTCTGTTTGTTCCACCATTATGTACCCAACTTCTAGAATAATGCCTGGGAAATCGTAGGCACTGTTGAATGAATGATTGAAACTTGGGGTTTGAGATACGAGTCTGGCTTATTATTTCCTAACAATTTTTACAGTTTCTTTTATTTAGTAAAACTTTTACAGCAATGTCTTAAATGTCTTGAATTAACTCAATGAGAATTTTAAGTAACTTCTAAAATTAGCCTTTTTTTTAGTGGAATTAGGCCTAAGTTAATGGATATATCCCTCTTTTTTAAGTCATCTAAATTAAGTTTTGTTCTTTGACAAGTAAGGAAATTTTTAAAACTTTTAAATTACAAAAGTAATTTACTTTTTACTGAAAATGCAAATAATACACAAGTATAGATCTTCCCTCACTGTTTCTTTAGTCTTTTTCCTCAAAGGTAACTACTCTTATCAATTGGTGTACAATGTATCAAATATTTTTCAAGGTGTATATAGTCTATTTTAAAATAAAAATTAGGAAAATGTTGATAGATGTGGATTATTGACATGAAATAATGCTGTAGTTACCATCCCTCTGCTTAGATTTTCCCATTTTGTATTTCTGTAGGATAGGTTCTTAAAATATAATTGCTAAATTTAAGACTACATATTTTGAATTTTGATGGATACATCCAAATTACCTCCCCAAAGGATTACAGAAATCAGTTTTTAAATAACATATTTATGGATTTTATGACTAGAAAAATAATGTAAGGTTTATTAAGGACAACTTGACAAATATGGAAAAGCACACCTCAGAAATCTGTTACTCCTTTGCCTGGTGGTAGCCTTCTAGTCCTTTTTTTCTGTACAGATAAAAAATTATTTTTCCAAGATTGGAATCAGACTATACAAACTGCTTTGCAATTTGCTGTTTTCAAATAACATTGTATTATTATTTTCCCATGTCCTTTAATTCTACATTTTTGCACGTCTTAGACTAATGTCTAATTTTAGTATTTGCCCTTATAAATAGCACTGTTGTGCATACCTTTGTTTATATGTATGTGTGTGTATTTTTCTATATATAGATGTATCAGTGCTTTTTCAGTACACGTTTTTAGGAGTGAATTTGTGGGTCATTGTCTGACAATTTAAGGCTTTTCATACATATTGCCACATTATTCTCCAGAAGAATTCCAAGTTGCATCTTACTAGCAATCTCACTGCCCACTCTCTGTACTCTCATAGGTTAAAAAAAAAAACCAAAACCAACAAATTAAGTTTTAAAAGAAATTAAAAAAGAAATGGGAGATACAGCTATGGTGTAAAATGGAAAATGAGTGTAAAGACACAGGATCATGTACTGCATAAGTTGTATTCTTACCTCTTACATTGCTCATTAATAAATGTTCTCTCTTCCCTTTGCTGTTTAGTTTTGACCCTTTTTGTGTACGTCTTTGCTCTTTGGTTTGCTGCCATTTTGTTCTTTTCTCCTAGAGACCAAATGAGAGGGTCGACACTGTATCAGAAAAACCAAGAGAAGATCCGGGACTGAAAGAGGAGCCCCCGGTGAGTCACTTTCTTGAATACTGTCTCACCAAATGTGATGTGAGAAGGTGAAAGCAGAGTGACTAAATTATGACATGTGTAATACGTTTCATTACAGTTCCATACTTTATTTCAGAAGTTATACTGAAATAAATCTTGGAACTGGTTTAAGATACTTCCAGCGAATTAACTTACCTTTTCAAAACTATAACTGTTTTTTAATAGATGTGAATTCTCAAGATGCCTTGTCAGTAACTTGGCAACAGAAACCGTCCTATTTTCAATATTGGAATGGGGCTTATTATTTCCTTCCTTTCTTCTGCCCTTTTGCGAGTTATGGGTAGCAGGCATCAGAGAGAAGTCTGATTGAAGATCAGTTTTACATGGTTAATGTGTTTGATGTATTGTGTACATTTCTTTTTAGAAAGTTTTTCTCCTGATGAAGTTTTTTGTGACCTTTTTTCCCTATAGGTTCAGCCAGTATTGTCTTCTGTTCCAACAACAGAAGTGTCTGCGGGTGTTAAGTTCCAGGTTGGCGATCTTGTTTGGTCTAAGGTGGGGACCTACCCTTGGTGGCCTTGTATGGTTTCAAGTGATCCCCAACTTGAGGTCCACACCAAAATTAACACAAGAGGTGAGAAAAGGCATAAATAGCTATTAAGTTAAAGGTCGGGGAGAGAAAATCTTAAATGTTGTATATGAATATAAGAATACATACATGATACAGAAGCTGACACCAGAAAACATGTATCTATCACTTTTTAATAAACAGTGAAATAATTAGCTGTCTTGACTGACAGGGAGCCTCCACAACTGACACAGGCCTTGTTTTCCTTTATAAACACCCTGCATTTGTTTATGATTTTTTTCACACTTCTTTTTTTAAAAATCCTTCCTCAGACCTCTCAAGTGAATTCCAAAAGAGAGCAGATGGATTAGTAATAAAATGTCTTAAATGAGCTTAGGAGGCTTTGGGGTGAAGCTTTCCTAGAACATTTTTATTTCATCATTGTCTCCCATGGCTATTAATTTTTCACTCAGACAAGGGTTTTCCATCCTGATAAATTTTGCAAGACGCTTTTATCCTCCACTCAGTTTTTGAATCTGTAAATTTACTGGGACATCCTTCTGAATTCAGTATGATGAAGAAGTAGAGTTTGAAGGTCGCTACATGCCATAGAACCCCACCTTGGGAATGTGAGTAAATATTAAGAAAACGTGTGTTCTGACTTTTCTCTACTCCTTTTCCTGGGTTTGACCAAAACATGTAGATTAGATTCCTGAGACTCTGGCATGTGGAATGGACTTGCCTGGTAGCCAGAGGAAGGTTTGAGTTTGGAATTTGTTTCTGGGTATTTACTTTGCGAACTCATTTGTCGAGTTCCTTATTGTCTGTGACAACTTTGCACCTTTTTCTTTCTCTCTGATTTTGAACTTTCCACCTCCGTCCCTATTCACTGTTATGAGGGAAAAAAGGTGTCTGGTGAGTCAGATTTGTGACAGGATCCACCGTATCTTGTAACTCCTGTGCTGCACAGCCAAGAATGCCCCTGCACAGAAGGCAGTCATCTTGTCACTGTAACTGCTGATTAAAGGTTGGGGTGACTGGAAGCATCAGTGGGACAGAAAAAAAAAGCAACCCACATTGTTGAATGTCTGCTTTTGTGCGTGGCGCATGGGCAGTTCTCTTATGTTTTCTTTTGCAGTCCTCAGCAGCAACCCTGTGAAGCAGGTACTGTTACTGTCCTTACGTTTCAGATCAGTAAACAGAGTCTCAGCGAAGTTTTATTCCATAACCCAACTCTTAACATGACTGTATAATACAGGGAATGTCACTGAATTTCCCTCCTCAGAGGGTCGGGGAGGCAGCCCTGGTTCCATTGCTTATATGATAAGGGTGCTGGACTAGGAATCTCTGAAGTACCTTGCACATTTAATAATCGGTGATTCTTTGAATGGGAGGATAGAGGGACAGGGATTTCCTAAGAGGGACAGGCCTTCTCAGAGAAAGCAATGCATGTCCCTGTGAGGCCCCCAGAGCGCTCTGAGCTGTTTCATCATGAGAGAGTTGTGGCTCTCCAGTTCTCTCCCCTTAGAAAAGCATCCTGTTGAGATTATATAAAGAATGCCACATTTAACATTTAATTACTTTATGAAAACTTACCAAATTCGGCTTTTTTATGGGATACAAATGAAAGCACAATTTATGCTTCATCTTGTATTTCAAGGGAAGTATTTAAATTTAGTTTTATGAATTAATCTAATCTGGTCTGGTACTCCATAGGCAATCTCCTACTTCTCTGCAGGAAAAACTGATTTTAAGAAATATTATTGAGGAAATCAAAATCTGAGAATTGAGGTTTGAAAAAGGAACATTCCGATAATATTTAAATTTTTCTCTTTTCTGCAGTAGCTTTTAAAATAATACCCCTCTTGAGCTATGATTTGCATACCATAAAATTCACCCTTTTAAAGTGCAATTCAGTGACATTTATTACATTTACAGAGTTGTGTGGCCATCACCACACTTTAATTTTGTGACTTTTTTATCAACCCAGAAAAGAAATCCCATCTCCACCAGCACTAGCAATCACTCCCCATGCCTGCCCTGCCGCCAAGCCCTAAGCAGCTACTAACTCCTTTCTGTCCCTGTGGATTTTCTTATTCTGGGCATTTCATAGAGATGGAACCCCACAATGTGTGGTCTTTTGTGTCTGGCTTCTTTCATTCACTTAGCGTCATGTTTAGAGGTTCACCTGTGTAGTGGCACGTATCAATTCTTCACACCTCTCTTTTTATTGCCAAATAATATTCCATTGCATGGCTGTGCAGTGCAGTTTTAAATGAAGTAGTTTTCTGACAGTTTTTTGGAAACCAGAAACACAGTATAAAACTTAATTGTGTTGATTCTGTTCCACACATGATACCCGTGAACCACTGTGTGTTGCTTATCTAAACTACTTCATGAAATTTATCTTGAATTAGATATAGTAATCACTGGTTTCCATATTGTTATTAGTCAGTATTGTTATTAGTCAGAGTCTCAGCATTGGAAAACGTATTTAACGGTTTTCACACATAAAGATAAAATTCTTTGTAAGAGCATGTTGAAAGATGTTTGGGTCACATGTCTATTTTAAGTTGTATTTCATTGTTTAGGTCTCACTTTAAGTTTAAAAGTTAAAAATGAAATGCTTCCTCTGCTTATAACAGTACCATATATATGGTCAGAAGCGAACATGCCCATTGTTTCGTCCTCCAGACCTGTAACTGCTGTTAAGGGTTTGGGAGTAATTCTGGTTCTAGTAATAGACGATTTTTTTAGAGCAGCTTTGAGTCTACTGAAAAATTAGACAGTACAGAGAGTTCCTATATATTCCCTCTCCCTCCACCCTGCAGCTTCCCCCATTAGCATCTTGCATTAGTGTGATACAGTTATCACAGTACGAACCAGTATTGAGCCATTATTAGTAACTAAAGTCCCTAGTTTACAGTGCTGTTCGCTTTTTGTGTTGTACAGGTCTGTGGGGTTTTTTTACTTGCCTTTCCAACAATGTTACTTTTATTTCCCTGCAGTGTTTTCTTTAGCACATTCAGATGTTATAGTCCAAAATCATGTATCTTTTATTTTCTCTTTGAATACCTTTATAGTTTTTTTCAAAAGGACAAAAAGTGATGTGGTAGCACTGTTCTGTATAGAATGAACCTTAGAATCAGTGACGTGCTAGCCCGACTGTCCTTTCTTTCCTTCTTTAGAACCAGCTTCCTTTCCCATTCACTCCTATCAGTGTGTTGAGTTCTATGGGTTTTGACAGATGCATAATGTGGGAGTAATTCTTTTTCTCTTTGCATATTGTACTGAATAGATATGAAAATAAAGATTTTTAACTGAGAGTTTCAAATCATATCACATTATACCTATTATAACTTTTAATCCCAATTTTTTTTAATTTAAAACTGGTTGGTTTTATTTATATATTTTTCTTATATAAAAATGTTTCTCCCACACTTTTCTATTGGAAATTTAGCCCGTTACTTAGGGACAGATGTGCTAGTTTCTTCATCTCTCAGGTCTTTGGGTTTTTATTCCACTCTTGTTTTGTGTTTTCCAGCCAGCAGGAAGCAATGTGCTAACAGAGACAGATTGTTCGATTTGTCTGTCTGTAGTAAATGGGTTTAACGGAGGAAGAAGTTGAAAATAAACATTAAGATGAGATGTTAACTATGAAGTCCTTTGGGATCATGTTTGCTTCTAAATAACTAACCATGACTTTTGGAAACAGATTATGCCCTGTGTTCTTTTAACCCTGCTACTTGTACCCACCACCCCGTCCACCAAACTCACCTGTTAGTTTAGGTTGTATTTCTGTTTTTGTGCGCCAAAACCCTTGGACTTTTGATGAACCTTCTTGATTAATTATAGTCAAATTTATGCTTGGTTCTTCTCACATTAGATGATATGGAAATCCAAGTTGTGGGTGTGTGTTTCTCTCTTTTCATAGGCTATTTTACACTTGAAATTTTTTTTTTTACACTTGAAATTTTAATCTGGTTTTAAACCAGATTAAAGTAATTCCTTAGATAATCTCCTGTTAATGTCTAATAAAATTTAAAAAATTTTGAAATCAAGGTATAATCGATTTCAGATAACTAAGTTCAATTTAAGCTTCTGCCCATGTTTCCTGTAGGATCTGCTTGTTGGTTTTCTCCCCTGCCTGAGTTACCTTGGGTTCCCCAGGTTGACCTGAGACTTTAGAGCAGTGTTTTCCAAACTATAATTTGGTAAAGGACCAGTTTATTGCTCTTTAAAAAAAAAAATTCCAGTCTACCACGGACCACTACTTCTGTGAAATATGATAAAATTAACTATTAGAAAAGTGAAAGGCCCGTCCCTCCAAAAAAATTCATGGTGCAAAATCCCTGGTCTCGGGCCTAGATGTCACGCAGTATCAAATTATCATAGTTTCTAAATGCTCACTCTTAATTTCTCTGCTTGTTTTGTCACAGACTGGCTTCTTCTGGGAACCACACTTTCAGAGGAGCATGACTGTAGAACAATGATTCTCAGATGTTTTGGCCCAAGAACCCCTTTTACACTTAGAATTTGAGGACTCTAAAAGCTTTTGTTTATAAGAGTTATTATATCTACTACTATTTCTTTTCATTTAGAAATTAAAAC